GAGCTCGCTTGTTGTGCTGTCACATAAGAAAATATCAGGTGAGGCCTTTTGCAAGACAGAGAGAAGCCTACAAGGCATAAAAAACTAAATGATAACATTGCTTAACAGCGTACTCATGTTCTTGAAGTGAATGTTTATGAGCAGCATCAACATCTTCAAGAGCGTGAAACACGATGCAACGCGGTAAAAAATTCTTAAGAATTAATAAATTAAAAATCTTAATATTCATACGAACACTTTTACAGTAGTGTGATTCTGTAAGACTTAATTCTAAACTTCGAATCTGAATTCGCCGTGAGTAGTAGTACACTAGCGCTACACTTGCGAGTTGAACTAGATTGACAGCAACATTTTGATAGATAAAGTATGAGATGACGTTAAAAGTGGCATTCTAAAATTTTATTTCCCCGTCACTTCGACGCTCATTTCGGACTCGAACAAGATTCAAAATCAAACAAACTTTATAGAATCGACGTGCAGAACTCTTACTCGTCATAAAGTATAGAACACGTATTTTAAGATACACGGCTACATTGTACAGTCTATCCATTGTCCACTCACATAGAAAAATAACCTGTAACCTCACCACTAGTTTATCATAAGTAACTGTCGACAAAAGAATGCAAGATAAATGTACTATTATGAAAATATATGTTTTTCACGGAAACAAGGCGTGAAGAGAGGAATGCCACGTTAACAATGCACATCTAAAATGCTTGCGTGCTGCTTGTATGCTTTTTTGAGGGTTTGAAGTCATCTTATGAATTCGAAAAATGAGAGAGCCACCCATTTTCCTGCTTCGGGCCGGGACATAAGTAGTTTTGTATGTAGTATATGGTTATATAATATGTATTATGTATTAGGTACTTATGTATTATATGTGCATTTTTGCATATTATTATGTTTGTATTTATATTATTATATTATATTCATTTTTTTATGCATTTTAATTAATTACTTTTATTTTAAGTTAGCTCTTGTGCTTTTTTGCACCGACCATATTCTTACTGCATCACCCAAAGGTTGGCTATGTACGTTGTGCATAAAGGTTAAATAAAATAAATAAATAAAATAAGTACACTATTGCGCTTAAAACACCGGCTGCAATATGTGGATGCTTTTTTTGAGAAAGGAGTATCATTAAAAGATTTCTCTAGCCCAGGTTGAGGCGAGAGGGAGTGTCAGACTCTTATTGACTTAAAACATTATTGTACATATTATACGATTGTTCTTTCTGTATATGATTGTTCTTACTTCGCTGTTATTTTCATGGATCTCAGTTATCTGAATAAATAAACTTTATTATTATTTGTATGTCTTTACCAATCACGGGACCACAGGATCCCGGTCATTTGGAAGGCGTACGAGGGGCCGGAGCCAACTGCGCAGAGGCCCTTTAGACAACTTTAATCTAAATGAAATGGGACACTAACCGGCGACTATCCCTGTATGCACTATGGAAATGCACCCAAGGATAGTCTCCGGTTAGTGTAGGACTATTGCGGATAATGGAAACAAGGGATAAGACTATGGGTGTGGGTTGTTATGGACTGGTATGATGGGAACTATGGAAGGACTATGGCACCTGCCGAAACAATGTAATAAATACACGTAAAAATGGCAGGTGGAGACTCGCCAACTCACCGACCGGGCCCCCGGGAATGGTTGCTAGTAATAGCAACAGAGGGACAGCGGAAATGTGAGTGGCTGAAGGGTGAAGAAACTGCCACCAGCTTTCTACTCAGATCATCTGCATCTGCCTAAGCATCCTGCATCACTGGCCCACTCGCCGCTTACGAACAGCTTCCACCCTCCGAGCAGGATCACTACTCTCGCGACTCCACTCTGGACGGCCAATGAAGGCAAGCCAGAGGTGGGAGACCTGTTCCTCGTCATCGTCCACTTCGGCCAGCTAATGAAGGCAAGCCGGAGATGAGGAACGGTGACTTCTCCCTGGAGCAATCGGGATGATGGTAGCCCGCGGGATCGCTAATTCCCGTCACCTCGCCTCAAGGTGCCCTGCGGGCTTATTATTATTATTATTATTAAAACCCCCTGTTCCATTTGTCTGTAGACAACGCTTACGGTTGGTGGCCCGAGATGTGTATCCTGAAAATTAGCATCTTGTGATCCCTTTTTAAATTGAAAAGGTAAATAAACATTAAGAAAGTATTATAAAGAATCAAATAATTTCAACGATATATTGATTTGAAATAATGTGTGACTTCACTATTAAGAATATTTTATACTGAGTAGTGACTCGATGATCTAAGTTTAATTTTAGTGTTGTTTTCTTACAATAAAAAAAATACGTGCCTGATACTTTGTCATGATCTCTCATATTTTTTACCGTTATCATTGCTGTTATGTTACAGCCAAATAATAATAAAATACTTAATACTAATAATCCTACAAATGAGAATGAATGCAATAGGCTTGCAAATACTTAGTGGGCTATCATCGTTGTTGTTCTAAATAGGTTTGTTTCTGTCCGTTTATAGCGTGTTTAATTACGGCACGAGGTACAAGCGGATAGCGGTAAGTATTCGCGAATTTGTTTTGGGCCGGGTTGTTAGAAAGTTCTCCTGTAATTTTTTTTTTGTCGATCAAAGTGTTGTTATTATAATAATATTTTCATAGATCAGCCGGTACAAGTTCTCACTTTTTTGCACCACCACTTTCTTTCTCCCGCTGCAGGCCCCGCGTTACGTTTGCGCTTCCCCCGCAATCTCGATTGAACTTTAGTTGTGCCCCCATTAGTGGTGGTATATTAAATCTTTGAGGCAAAATATGTATTTAAAATTTTTCTTTGATTTAAAATTTGCATGCCGATTAAATGGCGGATCATGAAGAACTATGTACCTAGCTATTGTATATTAAGATCTGTACCACTATGTCTCAATCTCGAGCAAATAAAATGAATACTATTATTATTTTATATGTTCCTTTCCACTCGCGGGGTCTTAGGGTCCCGGACTTTTGGAACGCGTATGAGAGGCCGAAGCCAACTAATATAAGTGAAATGGGACATCAGCCGGCAATTATGCCTGTATGCACTGTGAAAGTGCACCCAAGGACAATCCCCGGTTGATGGAGGACTATTGGGATTATTATTATGTATATCTTTACAAATCACGGGATTTATTTATTATTATTAAAGCATGCAGTTAAGTTATTTTTCGCTCGACACACCTCTTCAGAAATCTGTTATTTCATCCCATAATTAATGTATTAATTTTTTTATCAAAATACTCCAGGATTCCGTTTTAACTTTTACTTTCATTTCTATTTGTCACTCTACAGCTTACATTTGTCCCACAGAAAAGTTTTGAAGTAGGCGCAATTATGTACTTACCTACCTGAATCCCTACGAGACTGACCCGACAATGCTTTTAGTGCTAACTTACATTTGTTCATACATAGTTACATAGTTTGGACGAAATAAAGTAGAGAGTTGTTAAAGGAGCGATTTTTTAGATGGCCAGTAATTATTAGCTCTTGAGTCTTAGCTTAGATGTTCTATGATTGAATAGCTAAAGGTTTGATTTAAATAAGTTTTTAATTTGAAAGTAGTTAAATTGTGCACTGTGTGACTAAAGACATAATGTACCAGAAATGATAAAAAAATCTGTTAAAGTGTGAGTAAGTCCTTTTTTTTTTACCTGATGGTAAGCAATCAGCGCCGCCCATGGACACCCGCAACGGAGGATTTACGAGTGCGTTGCCGACCTTTTAGGGATTAGGGATTTGGAGATTTAGGGATTGAGGAGGGATTGGGGGCGGGGAAGGATTGGGCCTCCGGTAACCTCACTCACACGGCGAAACACAACGCTGTGGTTGTTTCACGCCGGTCTTCTGTGAGGTCGTGGTATCACTCCGGTCGAGCCGACCCATTCGTGCCGAAGCATGGCTCTCCCACACTTAACTAACTATTGAGTTTCCAATAATAATTACAGTTTTTAATTTAAATATGTATATCTATCGGTATATACTGTTTACTGTTTCGCTCAAAATGACAGTTATCTTCCAAAATTGTGTCAGTTCTAATAAAGTATGACTTTTCAAAACCTAGCTGGCGACTGGCTGCACGGTTTACGCATAGAACAACTCTTTGTGAGATTCACTTTTTTATTCCGTGTCTGTGTGTGTTGAATATTTGTAAACGCACTCATGACAAAGGAGCCAGAGGGAGACCAAAGAAAAGACAGAGGAGTTAGTGATAGTGGCTGACAGGACAGGACAGAATGGAAGAAAAAGAAAACATATTGCGCCGACCCCAAATAAAACGGGACAAGGGCAGGAAGATGATGATGCACTCATGACACAGGAGAAAATAATAGGGTAGGCCAATGTTGTTAAAAAAAAAATACCTTTCCAACAATCATATTGTTAAAGGATAAAAAAAAACAATATCGAAGATGAATCTGCCTTATATTTTACAGTTTCATTTTATATAATAACACCAACAATTATGAACATTTGCATGACTACTATAATTTACAAATAATTAGATAAACATAGTTTTAAGGGTCTCGATTCCACATTGTATACAAGCATTCATATAGTCGCATTATAAGAAAAAGTATTGCTGGTATTTTAATTTTTGAAATTAGTGACATCTATTGTCGGTTTCATGTAATTATAAGTTTGAATACTATGCATAATGTAGGTATGTCTGGATTGTTCTATTTTATGTTGCATTGGATATTCTTTTAATTTGGTAATTAAATAAAAAAAAAAAATCAAATATTAACATTAATATAATACCGATGTAAATTCAAAAGGGGATTAATTTCGAATATTATTTTGTTTGAATTGTGATTATTGTAATTGGTTGTTTAAAACGGATTAATAAAAACATCTTATACGTTTACAAATGGCACATTTTATCTTAAATTCTAATCTATACAACTATTTGCCAATTGCAACCCAACCTTACAATTGACGTTTTTAAATACATTCGTTAAAATTAGAGTATTAAATAAAAAAAAATATATACGGAAATATTTTCAATTCATAATTATAATTATTATATAATATAATAAGAATTATATAAATATAAGAAAACAAATTTTGAAATTAATAACGTCAGTCAATCTTTGGTATAATTTGTTTTTTGTTTAATTAATTTACTTGTCTTCAGGCGATTCTCTCTGTAACAAAAAATAAATAAAAAAATTAAAACTAGAGAATATTTATTAATATAGTTTTTTTGAAATTCGTTATATTACTTGTCTTATCAGTCATTTAACTTAGAAATTGAGTTTTTGCAACTATCCAGAAAAATTCTTACCATCATTTGCCACATTTTCATCTTAGATAACAGGTCCTCGTCCAGCATGGGCTTAGCTTCCATATTTCGGCTAAAAGGTAGTTCCACAGGCCCGTCGTCATTGTCAAGCCTGAAAGAGATAGGGCAAAATAAATAAACACAATTTGACTGTATTTGACTGTCTGTGGTCTAATGGTAGCAAGTGTGTCGAGCAAGGAGTTCAACTCTTAAGGCGAGCAAAGTATCATTATTTGTTCATTTCTCAAAAAAATCTCAATAGGTACACGATATCTTTCGTCCACCACTATATGATTACTGGCGTATACCTAATTCTATTTTCCCTAAACACGATTAGAACATTATATAACGTGTTACATTATAATAATATTTGTGGTTAAAACGCCTTCCGTATTACATGATATCAAATATTAGTTCCACCCTAAAGTTAAGCAACATCAAGTTAAGCAGGCATAGTTATACGAGTATATAATACTAGTATGAGAACAATGGCGGCTAACTAGGTAGTAAAGTAGTCTAGCCGATGGTAAACTTTTAGCATGCGGTTTTTCAGAGAAACCTTAATAATTCTTATCTAGTTTTTACTTAGTTCACTGTGAACCTCCATGTTTCGTTCGTATGGTAAATTTAAGCTCATTCTTTAATATAAATCGATTGTAGTTTTTTTGTCAGGGGAAAATCATCAAATGACTTTTCCCGCCCAGGATAAGGCGAGAGAGAGTGTCAGGCTCTTACTGGCCTAACCCTCCCCCCCCATTCCTTCTCTTGTTTTGCACTTAAGCCACGGTGCCACATTGCGCTTACCCCGCAGCCCCGGCTGAACATCAGCCCTGTGGGATTGTGGGATGTAAACAAAAGAGCCATCCGAAGATTTGACAAAAAGGATTTGTTTAAAAAAATAGCTTTAGATTGAAAGGACCGGTTGCACCATCTATGCGCAGTTTCTGTACAATACTTACATCAGTTTGCTAGCCGCGTTCGATTCGTCTGGCATGTTCATTTGGAAGATGGCGTCGATGTCGTCATTCTTAGTCAACTGGTTCACGTGATTCTGGAATTCGAAAATAGATGGCGTTGTTATACCTACGTGAAAGTTGCAGTTTGGTGTCCTAATTGTATGCAGTAAAAGTACCATTTATCAGGTTTTTTTACTGTTAGTTCTTAAATTATTATTGTTCACTGTTGCAATACTTGAATTGGCAATTTCTATCACTATCAACAATTTGATATTCTTAAATAATTTACATTTCCAGTTCGGGTCATTTCCAGCCACCTTATCTGAAAGTCATTGAAGGAAGTCTACCTTTGCCAGTACCTGAGGTTCTGTAGCTGACATACATTGATGATGATGATGATGATGATGTTTATTCTCTTACCAGTTCTGCATTGGCAGCCATGCGTCGCAGCAACCTGGTGAGGTACCAATCAGGGGCCGACGCTGGAGGTTTGCCGGACCTCTTGCCATGAGCTGGAAGAAACGAGTTATCATTATTAGCGATTATTTTGTTGTTCTTTGTATAGGATAGGTTTTAAGAAGCCTTTTGTCCGGTGGTGTTAAAAATTTACATTGTATAATGTCACTTATAAATTTCATGCGAATGATCAGCTGTCGGTTTTTATTATTATTATATTTATAAAGTAAAACTATTGAATAAATTGCACTTAAATAATGTCAATAATACAATTTTAATCTTTTGTTTGCGAAGAAAGCTGTAATGCTTACATTGTTATTATTTGACAGCTTCCGCAAATGTAAGGATGAAGTTTCTGTCTTGTTTTTCTCCATTCAAATCTACAATTTGAAACGAGCACCTACATAGTTTACTAACGAACAGCCTGACAGACTACTTTTCTGTTTTGACGTTTCAAAAGTACCTATTTATAGTTTAGTTGGAATAAATGATTTTGACTTTGACTTCGATTTATTTACCAAACCTCTCTTATGTAAAATTTAAAACTCTAGTAATAATTATTAAAGAATTGCTTCTCCTTAAACGTGGCCTATAATTTTAGATATGAGAAAAGTGACTTTCTTTGTACGAAATCATTTGCATAGGTACTTTATCTCTAATCGAAATGTATAGGAAAAGTTTTAAAAGTAAAAAGCCATGGCTGACAAAACTACTTTCTATATTCTAGGCAATATGTGAAATTAAAATATAATTAATTCTACCATATGTCTTGTATTAAAGTAAGCTTGAAATGTCATGTTAAGTTGACAGAAAAGTATGGTTTTTGACATATTTCAATAAAAATATTGAATTTCTCTATTCGAAAACAACCGAATAATAATAATATTATCGTCATCTTCTACGCCGTTCGCCACTTCAATATACATAAACATACTTTCACGCTTGGCAGAAGGTGGTTGCCCACTGAGACCACATCTAAAAACTACAAGCTTATCAGAAAGTATTTCTGCACGGTCTCTGCCTAAGTTACAATTCGTCCCCCAACTCCAAGAAAAAACCAATTCTATTCCTTTCAGTTAGAACCTTCTAGTCCGTAAGCACTATTTACGTTTCAAACTGTATATACTTAAAAATAATTAAAATTCTAAAGATAAACTTTCCATTATTTTCAGTATAGGTATCCGACTAATTCATATTCGTCCCTTATACAGTATGTGTTCGACCAACTTAAATAGGCTCACTGCCTTTTAAAGTTGCTGTACACTAAGCTACAGGTTAGAACAAAAGTCCCCATTTTTATATGTTTACGTGACAAACAAACATACGAATCACCTGGTAGTAAGCAATCAGCATTATGATTCTGTAAGACTTCATTCTAAACTTCGAATCTGAATCCGCTGTGAGTAGTAAGTACACTAGCGCTACACTTGCGAGTTGAACTAAATTGACCGCAACATTTTGATAGATAAAGTATGAGATGATGTTAAAAGTGGCATTCTATAATGTAATTTCCCCGTGACTTCGGCGCTTACTTCACACTCGAACAAGATTCAAAATCAAACAAATTTTTAAAGAATCGACGTGCAGGATATCGATGTCTAAAAAGGGATTGGACATTCGATAAATTCTCTCAAAACGCAGAAACAAACGCAGTGGTTGTTTCACGCTGCTTTTCTGTAAGGGAGTAGTATCATTCCAATCCAGCCAGCCATTAAATTAACTAATTTAAAAATGTATCACATCAAATCATGGCTTGATACAGCTTATATTTTGTAGTTTTAATATGGCATTACATGTTTCTTTGTGCCTTTTATCAATGATAATTACTTAGAGGTTTGCAACGTTTTGGTATTTTGAGCTAACACTTTTGTAAATTTACTTAATTAATAAATGTAAGTCCACGTGAACCAAGTGGGAATTACATATATCAGTGGACGTAGTCTGGTTGATGATGACGATTTGGTTATCATATGGACATTGTTGGATGTCAAACTCTTTTTTTAAATAAACGTTGCCGCACCCTAGGATTTTCTCCTGTGCTGTGGGTGCGTTTACAAACATACAATTTCACATACACGTCGAACACAACAATTTGTGGATCACACAAAGAGTTTTTTCGTGCGGGAAATGAATCCGCGACACATCACGCAACACGCCAACCGAACTATGATTGGCGATGATAATATTCGATCACTTCTTTGTCCTATCTGATCAATAACAAAATACATTTCTAAAGTCAAAACTCTGTCTTCTTATTAACTTGGTACTCTTGATAAGCTAGTTCGTTTCTGTAGCAAGTCCATGTGTGTAACAAGCCTTACTAATTAAAACAGCCCTGACTATGCTCATTATACATGCTGGGATTATAACGTCGACAGGTGACTTCTATTAGAAATTTTACATAATACAGATTATTATAGGCTGTTGTTACTTATATTGTTTTTCGGGTATATCTTGTTGGGTTATCCAGGTAGCATCGTACCAAGTTATGTATTGTAATTTTAATGTAAATAATAAATAAGTTTTATCGTGTGGAGCATAATTTACTTAGTCTCGGTATTTCAATAATTAACGGACGTTCGTCAAAAGCAGGTAAAGAAAATTAATTGTGGAACGGTTTCTACGATTCGAAGTCGGATTACCGTATACAACGATGATTCGTTAAATATGGCAAGCAAGGAACCGGGCGTTAAGAGATTTTTGCTATCGATTTAAAGTAAGTAAAATAATTCTGCACGTCGATTCTATAAAATTCTAACACGAACTCGCATGTCAAGTCGACATTCTCTCTCACTTCGCATAAGGTTCAAAATGGCGTTGATTTTGCATTCTGTAAGCATCACCTAGGCACTTGCGAAGTGGAGTGAGCTCCGAATCGGCCAATACTGTACTAGTGTAGTACCACACTACACAAAATGTAAGTCGAGATTTATCGGTTTTTATTTTAACAAGTTTTTGACACAGAATTTTAGATATTATGACGTATAAATTGAAATTTCTTATTTTAAGGAATTTTAGGCAGCTAATTATTACAAAATAAACAGAATACTGTAAATTCAGGCGATGAATATAATCTGTGCTTCGTTTACCAAAAAGAAACTGACAGATAATGTCTTCATTCATTGTTGACAAACTCTTTGTCATTTGCTTTGTATTATTTTGTCCACGTTTGGTTTATTCGTATATTTTTTCTGTTCCGTGTTTGCCGATAAAAAGAGAGATCATAAACATGAAGTAAGTTTTATTACTGGTTGTAAAGTTCAAAAATAATATTTATTATAGAGTGTTTATTTTGTTTTCTAATCAAACCATAATGTTTCAGTCCAAATGAGATACGTTCCTCACACCCGTCGTCATCACAGGTTTTACCTGGCTGGCGAAGGGTTTCTTGAGAACTCAAGGTGCCAGAGAGCGAAATCGGCGCTAGTGGAAGGAACTAGCCGTGTGCCTGTATGGTATAGATGGCACTTTCAAAACTTATAAACAGAGGACCAAGGTTAAGTAAGTAGTGCTTACTTTGGCATGTTAAAACCATTTAATATTCCTTAATGCAAGCCACTTAAAATAACGATGAATCTTGGCGTGCTCCTTGGTTATATAACTTATCTTATTTTAATTTTACATTGACTATTAATAATAATAAAAAGTAAGGCTTTTTTTAATAACTTCTTTATTAATATAAATGTCTGCTTGTAGTATTGGTCTGAGAAAAAAGCGCCATAAGAAGCTTAGCAGCTAGGCGCAGGACAGGACTGGTGTGGTGGAAGATGAAGTTGAGCTATCAGAGGTTGAAGAAAGAACTTAATTTTTGGAACAAACGACAGCGAAAAGCTGCAATTTGTTAAAGAGTTTTTATCAATGCACATATTAATCGGTGTTCTCTTTTCAGTATCACGTCACACATCTTCAGTTGCTGCTCCTCCAACATCACAACGGCGAACGGAATTCTCCAACATCACAGAGAGATTCCTGAAGGTGGAAGAGTAGACGATTTCAAATCAATTGGAAGAATTTACAAATATCAAATGCGCAGATCTTGCAAGCATTTCTGAAGAGAAGTCTAGGGAATGATTAAATTTTAGCTGGATCTGTAGTTTCAATCTGGAATGGATTGTGAGCATTGGCAGAGGCCATGCATCGAGATAGGGTGTAACAACGAAGTTGTGTTTTAGTGTTTAAGACGTTTCAACCAAATTTTTTTTTATATTTAAATTAAACAATTTTGACGAGTACTAGCAGTTTTATTAGTTAAAGACCCATCCTCACATATCACTATTTATTTATTTGATTTTAACTCAATTGTATATTCAAACAATTATGGGATACAATAAATTAACTAGGGTCTAACAATTAGGCTCGTAAGGCTAAATTAAAAGAAAAAAATGTAATAAAACAATGAAATCACACGCATAAAAAAATGTGGAAAAAATAAAATCATACAAGACCCTAATTGAATTAAAATCAAAATAAAATTAAATAAAATCATAATCATATTTTTTTGTCAGGGGAAAATCATCATATCACTTCTCCCGCCCAGGGTAAGGCGAGATAGTGTCAGACTCTTACTGACTAAAACCCCCCCGTTCCTTCTCCTGCTTTAGGCCGTGACCGTGGCACCTCATTGCGCTTGCCCCGCCACCGTGGCTGAACATCAGCCCTGTAGGGCTCCGTCTGTGGTGGTCTATTGGCTCTTTGAGGCACTATATTTTGCCTACGTCCTAGATTTAAACCTGTATTAGATGGCAAATTCCTAGTTTGCTTCCTTTGAACTTCAGCAATTGTACATAATTTCGTCTCTAATTGTCCTCTCTTCAAAATTGCGAGCAGTAATATGCATGTATGTTATTTTAAAATGCTTCTGGGGAATTGGCTTCAGCACCACTAATGGTGTCATAAAGTAGGCACGTTGAGCATATCCTGAATCACCTGAAAAAAATCGAATGACTATCTAGTACTTATACTATTTTAAGTGTGCGAAGGCCATGTTTCGGCACGAATGGGTCGGCTCGACCGGAGTGATACCACGGCTTCACAGAAAACTGGCGTGAAACAACCATAGCGTTGTGTTTCGCCGTGTGAATGTGTGTCAAAATCTCCAAATCCATAATCCTAAAAAAGGTCGGCAACGCACTCGTAATCCCTCTGTTGTTGCGGGTATCCATTGGCGGCGCTGAATCCTTTCTATCAGGTAATCCGTTTCCGACCAATCACATATAAATAAAACCTAGTAATTAGACTTATATATTCTGAAGTAGGGACATAACTAACCAGGTAATACATGTTATGAACTATACCATCCATTGGCGGCGCTGAATCCTTTCCATCAGGTAATCCGTTTCCGACCAATCAAATATAAATAAAACCTAGTAATTAGACTTATATATTCTGAAGTAGGGACATAACTAACCAGGTAATACATGTTATGAACTATACCATCCATTGGCGGCGCTGAATCCTTTCCATCAGGTAATCCGTTTCCGACCAATCACATATAAATAAAACCTAGTAATTAGACTTATATATTCTGAAGTAGGGACATAACTAACCAGGTAATACATGTTATGAACTATACCATCCATTGGCGGCGCTGAATCCTTTCCATCAGGTAATCCGTTTCCGACCAATCACATATAAATAAAACCTAGTAATTAGACTTATATATTCTGAAGTAGGGACATAACTAACCAGGTAATACATGTTATGAACTATACCATACCAAAGTCCTTTGCCTCGCCGTTTTGTGGGTTTTATCAAAGGCCTCATCCTCCAGTTGGTCAATCAGCTCCATTGCACATACACGCTCACATAGTCGTCATCTCAGGTTAATAAAGACAAACTTCGAATGGTGCTAGATTGTCGACGCATTTCTTGTTTATCTAAAGCATGAGCTTCTTCTAACAAAGATTTTACCAAAAACATTCTTGCCATCGTTATCGTTTTAATAGGTAAGCACTTATTCACATTGTTACTTTCAAAACTTAATTTGAACACTATCTAACTATTATTTCTTCCATTTTCACTCGTAAAATAGATACTTTTAATTTGACATTTTGAATCTTGTTCTAGTTCGAAGTGAGCGTCGAAGTGACGGGACAATTACATTATAGAATACGATTTTCAACGTTATCTCATACTTTATCTGTCAAAATGTTGCGGTCAATTTAGTTCAACTCGTAAACACACTCGCAAGTGTAGCGCTAGCATAGATTCGAGTTAGGAATCGAGTTTTAGAATGCAAATCAAGAAACTCACCGCGGATTCAGATTCGAAGTTTAGAATGAAGTCTTACAGAATCACACCCCTGTTCAGCATTTATCGTCAAGCAAACTTAACGCGTAGGGATTCGAGATTACACTTCAAAACAGTAAATACAATTAAAATTATAAGATTGTACAATAACATTTTAATTTGTCGGTACAGTTGGTGCTGTGGCTAGGCAAATGGCTGCTGTGTAACGCATAATGAGTTCTATTCCCGCAGGGAATAACGCATTGTCTACAAAATATTATTATGGGCCTGGGTGTGATATGTACGTGAAACTGAAAAACATGCAGTAAACGCACCTACGACACAGGAGAAAGTCCTAGTATGAGGCAAAATGTTTTTGTAACAAAAAAAAAAAATGTAGGTATATTAGTAAAAGTGTTTTAAAAAACCTTTCTTATTACAAAAATATTAAAGTTGCTTTTTGCCAAACTATCTTTAGTTCATTCACTAAACTCATTGGAATATGCCAAACCCTTCTGACGGCGACAGACCCAATTCCTGAAGTAGACCTTTCATAGGAGAATGTATGGTCTCCATCGGAAAATATTATATTTCCTTACCAATGTAAGTTTCGCGTTAAGTAATAGAATTTATTTTGGTTTGTTGTCGTTTTTTTTTTTTTTGATACTTACCCATACTACACGCACTACTACAATCATAGTCTGTTAGTCATCCTCGAGTGACGGAAGCAACATAAATATGCTACTTAAAATAATTAATTTATCAAGAGTGAGAGCTATGGATAACCAGATTACATTATTACTAATCACCAAAGTGTTTTCACAACCTCAAATCATTGATCACATGTATGTATGTATCAAATATTTTTTATTTTAGTTGCCACAGAGAATAGTTCACATTTAAAAATAAAATGAAAAACAGTAATAATAGATTTCTTAAGTGTGGGAGAGCCATGCTTTGGCATGAATGGACTAGCTCGACCTGAGTAATACGACGGCCTCACAGAACAATGACGTGAAACAGCCACAATGTTGTATTTCACCGTGTGACTAATCTCGACTTCCCCTATCCCCAAACCCTAAACCGAATCGCGTCAATTGCTTACCATCAGGTAAATCGTCTTTCCGTTTACTGCCGTATCAAATTAAAAAAAGAAAAATACAAAAACTTTCATATGCAACAAAGCCCATCCGATGCAGATCCTAGGAATAATTTGAAACCGCTATAAGTGTCAATAAATGGTAATAATCCTGTACTATCATGGAATGTGGGAGTGGACATCGATATTACGTGTTATAAGCCCACGGATTAAAATAAAAGCAATATTCACGATAGTAGTTTACCGGCAAACGCTATAAAAATGGCCGCCGCCAAAGTATAATGATATTTGATTGAGCCATCGTCGGTTTTAGGTTATTCTTATCAAAGTTGCGTCTATAGTTTAGTCTAGAAGTGAGATTTTGTGTTTTGTGACTCTTCCGCTGTTTTTATGTGTTATGAAATAATGTAAATCTACTACACCGTCGATATGATCGCTTTAAGACTAATTAAAACCAAAAAATATTATTTAGTCGCATAAATTTACTGAAATATATACATATTTGCATGAGGGTGCGGGTTCGAAAACTGGCAAGTACCAATGTAACTGTTTCTGATTACTTATTTTGGACATCATTGACAAACGGTAAAGGAAAACATCGTGAGAAAACCTGAACTTATAATTTCCTGAGCAAACGTGGTGATTAATGTTCAACCCATCACCGTGTGAGAAGATGCCTTTGCTCAGTGCGCACTTATAGGCTGATAGATTAATACAATTGTAACTTAATCTTAAAACTTCTCTACATAATAAGTCATTGAACTCACCTCCCCAGCAGGAATGACCGTAGCTTAGGCAGGATCCTGAAACCACACAAATATTACATTTAAGCTTTTGATAAAGGATTTTTTTTCAAATGTATACAACTTTTTGTATTCAGTTCTCAAAGGTTGTTCAGTCGTACTCATAAAGTACCTAAATACTACAATAAATTTTTCTTTCAGCTGTGTAGGAATTATTTTTCGCTGTTACATGTACCCAAGTCAAGAGCACCCAGCTCCATTGAAGAACAGACTGCCGGACTATTATTCTAGTTTGATGGAATACTGTTTTTGACTTTGATGTTGGCAATCTAATGTGAGAAAGTTTAAGAGTAGTTGGAAAATAGGGCATCCAGATCAGAGATCTGGATACCCTATTTTCCACATTTTAATCTTCTATTCACATATTATTTTAAGATAGCAGGCATGGCAGTAATATTCATAAAAAAGATCATACTTATTGAATATGATAATATGGAATGCTCTCGCTATTGTCCATTGCGCTGCCTTATATACCTAGGTACGTAGTGCAGTGGCTATTTATTACATGTATAAGAATGAGTTAGCAATAAAAAAATGATATTTTGAATTATTTTATTTTAAATATACAATTTTTGATATTTTTATAGTTGATATCTATTCATTACTACATAGGTACACTTATAATTATTTACATAAACTTTTTTAGAAAATTAAACATACATAAGTGGTAAACGGTAACGTCTATACATTTTAAATTATTAAATCTATACTCTTGGTTCGATGTCATCCTGAATTTTGGCAATTAATTCTCTCGTACTGGTATATATATCATCGTATAATATAGTTTTCACAACATGTTGAACACACACATCAGCCTCACAATTACACATCGGCTGTTCGGATTTTTGAAAACTGTCTGTATCATAGATTTCTATTTTTATTATTTTCGTTCCACGAGAAACAGGCTTCTTTATAAATTGATAGAATGTCTGATCTGTTTTTGATCTCTTGCGAGCGAGACCCAGCGTCTTCTGTCCAGTGGTTTGTTGGACTGGTTGATTCATGGGTACAAAATTGAAGAGATCCTCCGAGTCCTGAAATAACAATACAATATTAATTTAAGTTACACTACAAACGTTACGATTGAAATAAAGGCTTATGTGGAAATAATTAATGCTGTGATGCTACTTACTACTATTGTTAATATTAATACATTTTTAAATTGTTAGTGAATGTATTAAAGTAACACTTACCGACATTCCGCAATTATATCAGTCTGATTCAGTCTTCACCATCAGATTCAAAGATGAAATGGATTTCAATTTATTATATCCCCCTTTTATATTTTTAAATTTAATTATTTCTTTTAATACATAGAGTTCAATATCGTATATTTTGTTAGATGTTAATATCTATACAAAAATGGTATGGTGAAATTGAAACCGCAGACATTACGACGCCTAACATTTTATTGTTTATCGAAAATATATATCGACAAAATAATACTACTGTATTTTTGTTCACGGTTATTGTTTTCATACATTTTATTAAAATGATTTGGCAAGCAAAATCATGGTATGTTAATAGTATATCAGCGTTAGCGAATTTGCAACGTAGCTGAATTCTTTTTAAGGAGACGGATCATAACAATTGATCAATATCGACATACAATTATTAAGCCTGGTTTTACCTGCTATTATTATTATAAAGATTAAAAATAAATAGTTTTTTGTTATTAATTTATTTTTTTAATAGCTTAGATGTACCTCTATGCTGGAATAAAACACAAGATTTACTTAATCGATCTGATTATTATTGTAGTAGGTACCTACAATTAGTGAGCATCGACACGTTTTACGTTTTCATACAATTGTTCAACTTCTTCTATATTTCATAAAAACAAATAAGTTATCATAGTAATTGTGAAAAAATTATAAGATAAATACAAGCTTATTTTTACATACCGAAATATGAGATTCTGACTAGTCATATCTCCATTCCTCCACATGTCTAGAAGTTGCATGCGAGCGTGCAAACCGCAGCGTTTGTACCGTCGCCTGACGTCAAAAACATTCAGTAAAAAACAACAATCTTCAAACTTTTTTTCTAAATATGAAATTCCCCTATTGTTTATTTAAGTAAGTATCTATATTCATCATCCGTCTACATTATCTATCTATACATATAATAATCTACACTAATATTATATAGAGGAAAGATTTGTATTTTTGTATGTTTGTAACGAATAAACTCTAAAACTACTTAACCGATTTCGATGAAACTTGGCATACAGATAGACCATAACCCGGAATATGACATAGGATTTTTTATCTCAGTATTAAGTTCCCGTGGGATAATTTAAAACTAACGCGGGCGAAGCCATGGGTAAAAGCCATCTTATATAATAACACTAAGCTTAAAACCTTAACCGCTCAGATTTGTACGCTCGTGTATGCAATTTTTGCAAGTATGCAGTTTTACAAATTTGGATTGAATGATGTGATTTTAGGCCTATAAAAACGCATAGCAAATTAGTCTCCGGTACAATTCCTCTCTGGTACGAATCCTCTCTACAACGGATCAACTCTCCGAGCTCCTGATCAAGCTACCTGTCTAAACACCTATCAAGAATGTAAGTATCTATTCATAATCATTTATCTAACTATTAAATGGTCAGAGCAATGTATTAGTTGATATATTCAAGTATTCGAATGTTGACCGTCAATATTGTGATGCAGGTTCGATTCCTGCACAGATCGAATATGCTACTTTGTGTTGAAAAAAAAATGAAAACTAAGTACCAGTTACATAATTATTTTAATTTATTTCAACTATAACACAATGATAATTATGACTGCTTATGAAAGATTGGACAGTCGAGGGTTCCATTCTCGTAACGTTTCAAGTCTAACTGTGACATACATATAGTTAATCTGATCATTATTTCTTATCTCTGTAGCATAGATAGAATATTCTAGTTTGACGTTAAGACTATGTGTCTGTACCTATACCAAGCATTGTATTTGTTGTTCATCGATTTTTATAATTTTTAATATTAGATTTATACATAGAAATATTTAGAGATATAGCGAAACCTAATCAACATAAACACCTATACATATGTAGAAAATAAAATTATCGATTACAGTGCACTAATAATATATTATTTATACACAGGTCGAAGCTACTCGCCAACGATCTCTTTCTCTCCAGCGACGATTCTGAAGCGGAGGTGAAGCCGAAGGGGAAGTCGGAGGACAAGAAAATGAAGAGAGAGCGATCCGGCAAGTCGAGTGAAGGATCTAGTTCGAAAAAGTCCAAACCAACTATCTCCCCAATTTCTCCGCCAGCATGCGTTACGGCCAATGAATTATTCGGTGACGAAGACGATGACAAGAATGAATGTGTTAAGAGCTCTACCAAAACGGGTAATGTCCCACCTATACATTCTTATTTTACGAAAAGGCTGCGGAAGGGCTATTCTCGGCAAATTAGTGAGACGAAAGAAGGAAAATATTACGTCGAGTTAAAAATATATGATGTCGAAGAAATAAAAAAAATTATGCCGATAAATAGATGGCGGCATGCTATTACTACTATAAAAACTAAACTGGATGAAGATAAGGAGTCTTGGCACCATATAAAAGAGTTCATCTTAGCGACCCAAAAAGATTTTAAAAATTGTCCGCTGTCGTACTTAGGATCCTACGAAACTTAACGATTTAACCTATTGTTAATCAATTTATTATTCCTGTACACATTTTTATATTAGGTACATGATGCATAGTTATATCTCTATATACAATATAATAACATTTATCCCAGCATTAGCTTTAATTCATAGGGTAATTCAATGTATTTTTGGTTATTTCATTATATTTTATAATTATTATCATTGTTTTTTTTCTTTGTTTCACAGCTTCTACACACCTCACTAATAAGTCAAGATCTAGAAAAATAAACTGTGACAAATGTAAAATATTAATTCCAGAAAATCAGTATTCCTATCATATGAGAACTAATATACACAAAGCAAACTGTTTATTGAATACCAAGTTCGCAAATATTCATATTATTGCGACAGCATTCAATAACAGAATAATGACATACAGATTGAATGTCACTCAGGAAGACGAGTACCTCGGTCTAGAGGCGTTCCTGAGTGATCACCAAACCAATATAGCAGAATTGATTACTATGTCACTAAATAAACACAACTGCATAAAAGTTAATTTCGAATTGTTTGCATATTTTATGCTACCAACTTTAGAAGAAAAGCAGCTAAAGTCATTTAATACCAAGTACAATATTATTTATAAAAACACTGATTTGAATGAATTATTAACTAAAGTAATGAATGCATTGAACGAGAAATTAACAGAGTTCCAACACTGTCAATCTGGTTGGACGTTTGTTTCTATGAGTCATCTCGAAATTAATATAAATAAGTATTCACCTATGAGGGGTGGATCTTATATAGATTTACCACCAGCTATTAAACATTCTAGAAGTTGCATTAATATAAAAAATGAAGATGATTGTTGTTTTCTATGGAGTATAGTTGCTGGATTATATCCAGCGAAAAATAACGTGTGCAGAACAAGTTCATATCCTCATTATTCTTCGGTTTTAAATATAGAAGGAATGTCATTCCCACCCACAATGAATGATATTAAACAGTTTGAGAAAAACAATCCAAATATGAGTGTAAATATATATGGTTTGCAAAATAATATTGTAACTGGACCTCTTTATGTATCGAAGCATAAGAGAGAACATCATTTTAATTTACTATATATTGAAAACAATACTGTTGGACACTATTGTTTAATTAAAGATCTTATACGTCTTGTACGACGTCAAGTAACTCATTATAAAGGTAAAGTTTATTTATGTGATGCATGTTTACAATTTTTCAGTAGCGAAACAAGATACAAGTCTCATAACTGTTCTAAGATATTGTCTATTTTGCCTGAAAAAAAATCTATATTGAAATTTAAACATTTTGAGAGGCAGCAGAAAATTAATTTCATCATTTATGCTGACTTCGAATGTATGTT